TCTATTGTATCCTGTAGAATAGCTATGATTTGGAATTTACATAATGTCAGTGGGATTGTTTTGATTTATTGGGAGGGGAAGTGTTGAGGGGAAGTAACTACTGTCAAAGCCTAACATCTAGGCAGATAAATGCCCTATAGCCCCATTAAAGTATCATGTAGAAAGATCTTACTACTCTAAAAATATTGTGCTCCACCTATTTGCGCTTACTCCTCTGTCTATTTGCCTGAATTCCTTTCATATTTTTCATTAAATATGACTTGTAACAAAATTTTGCATGACTTTTAGATAAAACATTTTTAAAAGTTTTAAGATATGAGAAAATAATTTATCCATTATGGTAGGTATTTTAAAATTATGAGTTCAGGAAATTAAAACTCTGAGCAATAAGCTAAGTGTTTGAATGAAAAAATTAATAACTTGTAATGACAAATGTGTAAGGTAATTAAAACTATGAGTAATAAGCTAAGTGTTTGAATGAAAAAAGTAATAACTTGTAATGACAAATGTGTAAGGTAAGTATAGAGTTAAAAGTTCTAAGAAATAATCAAAAGGAAATGTTACAAATTTAAAAGCACAGCAATAGCAGGGAGAATGCCTTTGATGAACTCATGGATAGAACTGTGAAAATAATCAGTGATCCTGAAGATATGTCAATAAAATTATCCCCAAATAAAAAAAATATTTATATGAAAAAAAATAGAATGGAATATCTTAGAACTGTGGGTAAATTATAAAAGTTGTAACATACATGTAATAGGAATACAAAAGGTAAAGAGAGAAATTAATAGAAGATATATTTAAGTGAATCCTGACAAATTTCCAAAATAGTTGCTAGACATTAAACCATAGGTCTAGGAGGACCAGAGAACACCAAATAAAATTAACCCCCGAAAACTCTACTCCTAGATATGTATTATTCAAATAGCAGAAAACTTAAGATAAAAAGAAAAACATTGGATGAGGTTGGAGGTGGATACATCCTAAACAAAACAAAAGGAGACCTAACGTTGATGTAACTCTGACTCATGTTATTTTTGTTAGGTGCCCTCAAATTCGTTCCAAATCATGGCTAGCTGTACACAACAAATCAAAATGTTGACGTGCCCACACCATCATCACAATTGTGATGATGTTTGAGTCTAGTGCATCAGCCCCTGTGTCAATCCTTTACATTCAGGGCCTTTGGATTTTCTGCTGACCCTCTACTTAACCAAACAGGCTGTCCTTTTCCAGGGACTAGTGTCTCCTGACAGTATCTCCAAAGTACCTGAAAGGAAGCCTAAGGAGCATGACAGCTGGACATCTTCAAAGACAGTGTGTTTGTTATTCTGACAGCCCACAATACTTTAAAAATTCTTTGCCAATATCATAGTTCAACTGGATCAATTTTTCTTCAGTCTGCCTTATTCATTTTCTGATTTTCACACACATATGAGTTGATTGAAAACACCCATGGCTTGAACCAGGCACACCATAGTTCTCAGGGTGTCATTTTTGCTCTTCAACCATTTTTAAGATGGCAGATTTGTCCAATAAAATACATCATTTGATTTCTTGAATGTTGCTTCCTCTGAGCATCAATGCATTTGATATGTGATGTTGGTAAAGAATATAGAAAGAACCATGGGCTGTCAGGAAAACAAACAGATCAGTCTTGGAAGAAGTACAGCCAGAATGCTCCTTAAAATCAAGGATGGTAAGACTTCATTTCTCTTACTTTGGACATGTTATTAGGAGAGACCATTCCCTGGATAGAGCCATCATACTCAATAAAGTAGAAAACAAACAAACAAAGAAAACCAAGTTGTTGCCATCAAGTTGATACTGACTTACAGTGACCTTAACGGATAGGGTAGAACTGTCCCTGTGAGTTTCTGAGACTGTAACTCTTTACAGGATTCAAAAGCCCCGTTTTTCTCCAAAGGAGCCACTGGTGGTTTTGAACTGCTGACCTTGCAGTTAGCAGGCCATTTCCAGGGCTACACCACCAAGCCTAACTATAAAGCAGAAGAGCAGAAGGGCAGTGATAAAGAGGGCATTTTCGACAGGTTGGATTGAAGCAGTGGTTCCAACAATGGGTTCAAACAAAAACAATTGTGAAGGTTAGGCAGCACTGGGCAATTCTTCGATCTGTTGTGCAAATGCTTTGTTCCCTTGTCGCTGGGAGTCAGAACAGACTTGAAGGCTTTTAACAACAAGAATATCCATTCAGTCCTCCCTTCAGCCACACATATACTGAAAGTGGAACAATACAGAAAAGATAGGCAAGGCCACTGTCCAAGGATGGCATGCTAATTCCTAAAGGGTTACATAAAAATGTATATATTTTGGTTCATCAATTTCGTCAAATGTACCACACTAACACAAGATATTAATAAAAGGAGAAACTATGCAAAAAAAGAACAACGAGAGTATATGAGATACTGCTGGACATTCTAGGCAATTTTCTGCTCTAAAATATAAAACCAATTTAAAGTCGGCATTATTATTTTTCTTTTTTGTCTGAGAGTATTCTTTAGAATTTAGAGCAAGCCTCTCTACAGCAAGTCAATACTAGGGCTCAAATTTTGAGTGTTTTTAGGGGGGAAGAATGAGAGACGTGGCTATTAGGTCAATAACTGCTGTTAATTATTTAATTGTCTAGTAATATTTTATTAGTCTATTAATGTTTATTATTTAATTATTTTATTGGTCTATTAATCGACTGATAATATTAGTCAATAATTGCCATTCATTCAAAATAAAGCATTTGTTTAAAACAGTTTCTTAGTCCTAACAAAATTAAAAATAGCAAAAGAATGAATATTAAAACCAAAACGCCTTCCTTATTTAAGAGCACTATATTTTAGAGAGTTGAATTAGACTTTTCATGTTTATCCTGTATGAGAAGGAAGTTAAGATAATTAGGTTGTAAAAGAAAGTTATCTTTGAATTCATCATATCTGTAAGTCTCTCTGAGACTCAATAACTCCTATAACTAGTATTTTATAATGGCACCTTTACTATCTTAAGATGTAATTCATTGATAATATAACCTACTTAGACAAACCATTTAAAAATTTTAATGACCAGTTGTGACACAAAGTAGGAATAAAATGAAAATATTCATAAAATATGATATGCACCTTAATATGTAAATACTCACAAATGAGGACATGAAAGGTCTATTGTAGGAGTAAGATATTTGCAGACTCTTACAACTAATACATTTGACTTTAAAAGTAGGAGGAGAAACAAAAGGCAGTCTGTATAAAAATGGTAGAAATGAGATAAAAAAGAACACTCTGCAGATATTAAATTACAAAACAATGATAATATAACAAAAACAAGTGTATATGATAATGGAAAATGAGAAACCACCTTAATTAAGTTGAGATAACAAGCAAAGACAAATCACATACTGTGGAAAAGGGGAAGTTTCAGAATTATGATATCCTTGCAAATAAAATGGACATTACAAATGAAGAGTAGTAGCCATCTATATTGTAACATGGACTGTAGCAGCGTTGAAATAGAAATAGAGGAATATTAGGAAATCCTGTCATATATAGAAGCATATTTTCTCCCTCTAGTAACTAAAGAAAACTTGCAGATGTTAAATTGTGAGTATTTGTTAACAGCATTACAGTAAGATACAAACAAAAAAATAACAGAAATATAAATATCTTAATGAATATCTTTACAATATGGTTTTCTTGTCATCATCTTATGGGAATAAATAATATATAAATGGCAATATTATATGAATTTCAAAAGCAACGTTTAATTAGTGACATTTAGTGATATACCTGGGGACTCTGCACCTTTAAATATATCTGTCCTTGCATTTTTGGTTATTATTTTTAAACTTTGTCACACATTTGCAATTCATTTAATTGCTTTTGTACAGTGCTAAATTGTTGTCTAGAAATATTTTTCAACTAACTATGAAGTTTAAAGTGCTTTCGTACATAAATTAACATCTATCAAATAAGTGGGTATGAAAATCTTTAGTGAATGAAAAACTTTACTATGCTATAATACAGATTGCATAGTGCTTTTACCCAAATCCCTTTTTATAGTAAAATTGTCAAACAGCATTGAAAGGAAAAAATATTGCAACATCAGTTTAAAACAATTCTTCCTTCAAATTGACACTTAGGTTCAAATAGGTTTTTAATATAATCATGTTTGAATAGCATGTTGATGGAAGCAATGAATTGCCAAAATAATATTAAACCTATTGTTAAGCTAATTGAAGGAAAGATGGAACCAAAGATCCTTGGCTCACAATTTAATGTAAATAAATCTCATATCTTGCTCACAAAAATTAAATTGATTTAATATACTTGCAATTTAATAAGGAACTCTTTATCTTTATAAATATTGGTAAATATTAGGTGGAAACATATCAAATTTCAGACTGTATAGTTCAAAAAAAATCAATGAATAATTGAATAAATTGCTAAAACATCTGTTGCTATTTTCTTGTTATTGTTAACTTGACTGTAAATCTATGTTATTGACCAGTTATTGTTGGTGCACTGGCTATTACATTTGAAAAGTAAATTAGTTCCATGGAATACTTGTAAGGATTTAAAATAGTGATAACCTCGTTCCATCGACTGTCACTAATTTAAAACATTCTTCTATGATCATCTATCTTCTTACAAACCTTTTGTAGTAAGAGTAAAGCTTAAATATTTATGCAGGACAGTTTTATCTACTTTTAATAATTTTTTCTTCTTCCTACATTTATTACATAATCTATTTTGAACATTTTTATCATGTAATGAATTTCTTTCAATGCCGAATTATTGATCAAAAAAGAGAAGAAATAATTTTACAAAAATATCTTTCCAGTATGCTACTACTTATAAACCTAATATTGGCTTTTCACATGCTACATTTATCTGTGATTCTATAAAAATAATGAGACTTCCATTAGTCTCTAATGCTGCCAGTAATCCTGGGGGTCTTTCAATGCTTTTGATATTTGTTCTAAATTTTGCCATCACCATATCCAGGACTTTCCAAAGTGATCCCTTTCAGAAGCATGGGTTTGCCCATCTAGTTCTAGCTTCAGAATCATAGAGACTGATGTGTATGTGGTCCATTAGTCCATTGGACTAATCGTTTCCATGTGTCCATGATTTTCTTCAATCTTCTTTGCTCCAGATTGAGAGAAAGATTTCACCTTTCGGATATGGAAAGGAACTCATTCCCTGACTCAATTTTCCTCTAAATAATAGATTTCTATAAGGGAACAATGACATTAGGGATATATGCATATGTTAGAATAATCAACCATATGAGATCAAAAGGGCAACATTTGTCCAATGACAAATTTATGATGTCAGGAAAGAAAGAGAAATAAAAATATGAAACACAACCAATGCCATGAAACAAAATGCGAATGAATTGTTGGATACCAAACTGATCTACTTTTTACATCTTCACCCAATTCACAATAAAAATAATGTTTTAATGAGGCCTTTTCCTTTGGTCTAAACACATTTGCAAATATAGGGATAGTATTTCAGTTCTCAAGTATTTTCCTTTTCTCTGAGTGGTATGATGGCCAAATGGAACAGTGTCTTTTAAATAAAATGTTTATTTAATCTTAGAAACTCATTATCTACAAACTCAAAGTAAGAACACTTTGTTCTTTTAAAGTAGTACTCCATGATGCACACCTTCCCAACACAATCACTGAAGACAAATGTGTGCATAAGCTAATGTGGTGAAGAAAGCTGATTGTGCGAGCTATCATAAATATCTGGGGTCTTAAAGGCTTGCAGATAAACAAGCAGCCATCTAGCTCAGAAGCATCAAAGCCCACATGGAAAAAGCACACCAGCCTGTCTGACTACAAGGTGTAGAAGGGACCAGGTTTCAGACATCAAAGAACAAAAAATCATAACAGTGGGTGCCCACCTTCCCGATATGATCACTGAAGACAAATGTGTGCATACGCAAATGTGGTGAAGAAAGCTGATGGTGCCCGGCTATCAAAAGATACAGCGTCTGGGGTCTTAAAGGCTTGAAG